AGTCTCCCTCTCCACCGATGCCTCCCCAACGCATGCTGCCATGGCTAGGGGTCTGGAGAGGAGACCAAACCGGGTACAACAAGTGGGGTCATTCTTCTCACAGCCCCTCCCTCCTCCGGGGGAGGCTGGGCCCTGGCAGGAGGGGGAGGGGCAGACATTCAGCTCAGGCCGCCACTCAAGCCACTCAATAAACCGCTGATCGCTACTCCTCTTGTGTTGAACAAGCGCATCCCTGGGTGGAGAGGAAGACAAGAGATGCACTGAGGTGCTTCAGAGAGGAGAGGGACCCGGCAGGGCTGGGTGCTTTGCCCTTCGGGCCTCCCCTGGGCCGCGGGGGTGGGTTGTGGCTCCGTGAGTGTGAGGAGGGAGGCCCTGAGGAGGGCTCGGCACCCAGCAGCCCATCTCCATGGGCCGCCCTGCAGGCCTGTGGCCCTGAGTGTGGTGAGAGGCTGCACTGCTGGCCTCCAGGGACTCCTTGATTCTCAGAGACAGGCCCTGGCCACCACACCTTGGGTCCCTCCCTGAGCCCTTCAGCCCCAGAGGAGGGGAGTGGACAGAGACCCAGGTCTGTCTGAGTTCCCTGGGCTGACGGCCATGGGGCAGCCGGTCCCTGCCTGTCCCAGGCCTGGGCCTCACCAGGAGGGTGGAGGCCGGGAGGTGAGAAGACAAAACAGCCATGTTGACGGGACCCCCCCCAAGCACCAGTCCCCCGTCAATCCCTACCGACTCCATCCATGCTGGAATTGTGGCGATAAAGCAATCAGGGGAGGGGAGGCGGGGCGAGGGGCGTCTCCCCCCAATCGGGAGGCACAGAGAAGCAAACCCACTTCTATCCTCCTTCCTCAGGCCCAGCAAGTCCTGTCCACGCCGACCTGTGCCATGGCCTCCCCTGGAGGGGGGTGGGGAGCTGCCCTCCTGGCTGGTCACTTGAGCTGTGAGCTGGGCAGGCTGCCTGCCCTCTCTGGCTTGTCCTTCCCCATGCACAACACGAGGCACTTACACTGGGTCATTACAAGGCCCCTCCCAGCTCGAATGGAAGGGACTGGAAAACTGAGTGTGGTCCCAGGCTGGGGCACCCTGATCAGGATGGGGTGACGGCCAGATGGATGGGACTCCCACATCCCCAGGGTCCCACTGCGCAACCCACCAGTCAAGGACTCGGGCCCTATCCAGCTCTGCTGTGGGGCTGGGCTGACCAGCAGACCCTGAGCGGCGGATGAGTGATGACTCTGACACATGTTTCTGTGAAAGAGAGGGCTAAGGGGCTGCCTGGCTAAAGGAACCAGACAGCCCCATTCGCCTGCCTCCGTGGGCTTTTATTGTAGCAACAGCTTGAACTAAAATTAGCTATTAGATACTATCAGCAGGGTGAGCATCCTTGAGAAGACACA